AGCTAACAATGTCAACGACTTACATTATAAGGAAAACTTATACAAAACGTTTTATAGATGGCATTTACCACCAGAGAGGTTGGCAAAGATGTCTGAATATCTGTCAGCTAAATGCTGGAAGTATAATCATATACCAGATAACGTATTATCATATGTGGTGGACATGTCCAAAGGCAAAAAAAATATTGGACTAAAATACATACTTGGTTAGAAAAATGATAAAGCAATATACAGATTTGAAACCAGAAATATTCTTGCTGTGTATACTACCAGAACAGTATAATAAAGGGAATGCATATTTAATTTTGCATCTAGTAACGGCAGCAAGAATAGCGTTTGTACGACAATGGAAAAATGACAAGGTCCCGACAGATGAAAGTGCAATAAAAAATGATTAGAATGTGCTGAGATGGATAGATACTTAAGATAAAAGGAAGAAACAGAATACTTTTTAACATGGGATTTATTCTACCAATGATTAACAGAAACAGAGGTTAGAAACTAAACAGAATCTAAAAAGATAATAAAAATTTGTACTGGAAATTTTGCAAGATGGATAAACTAATGGTTTTATTATGTTGCGATATGTTTAAGATTAATATGATTTTGGTTATTGTTGTATCTTTACTTAAAATTAATTGTACCCAGACCAGATGCTGTTCAGATAGACATGGAATTTTTTGTTTTTTAAAAGGAAAACGTATCAATAAAACATATATTCAAAATAACCAAACTGATTAAACATGTAGTCCATATTTATGACTATATTAGGTTTTTGTTAAAAAATTAAAAACTCTTTGAATTGACCAAAGTTCTCATGAAGTGACTCAAACCTATACACTCCACAATCAAGGTACAGTGTTAATATCTGCAAATATGGTTTTATTATTTATTAAATTTGCCCAACTCTACAAAAAAGTGGCTTCATAAAGGTTAAAGCAAGCCATATTTTGTGTGAATATTTGCTATTTATAGCTGTAGTTGTAGAAAGTCCCAATGTTGCTACCAGTTTGCTTAACAGGAAAAAAATGATCCAGTTTTGACTGTACAGTACATGCCATGAGGATTGCTGGACTGCTGTAAGACTGTGCTAGATCTCTGTTGGACCTTACTCCATGTTTTCCTCTCTGCTTTGCATAAAACCCCACTAGCTGAGTGAATATATACCTGTAACAATGGGAAAGTTGAAGATATATCACGTCATATTGTGCTGCATTTTACAGGGACATCAATGTACATACTCCCTCTAATAGGGGAAATCAAATAATTATTTTGCAAACCACCTTCTTCAGTATTTGAATCCATGCACCACTTGTGCAGTAGCAAAATTTTGTGCTGCTGCTGCAATGATAAAAAGGAAAAACGAGTGAAAGCACTAACGGTCCTTACTCTTATCAATACTTTCCTTAGTTATTTTTTGGTAATTTTTAGAGAACACATATTTTAATGTATAGTTTCATTATAAGGTAGTCCTTAATTTATGACAATGGAGCCCAAAATTTATCTTGCTGAGTGAGACATTTGCTAAGTGATTTGCCCTATTTCATGCCTTTTCTTTCCACATTTGTTAAGTGAATCACTGCAGTAGTTAAATTTGTAGCACGGTTGCTAAGTGAATCTGGCTTCCCCATTGACTTTCTTGTGAGGTCGCAATGGGTGATCATGTGACCACAGGACACTGCAACTGTCATAAATATGGTCAGTTGACAAGCATCCAAAATTTGATCACATGACCATGGGGATGCTGCAATGGTCATTAAGTGTGAAAAAGAATGCCCCTTTTTTCAATGCCACTGTAACTTTGAACAGTAAGTAAATGAACTGTTGTTAAGTTGAGGACTACCTGTATTACTTTTATCAGTCATAATAAAGAATATTTGTATTTGAAATGAGGGGCCCTTGGTACTCTAGTCCCAGCACTGATGTCACCTGGTTAAGGTAATGAAACGTCTGCAAGAAAACAAGGAAGTTCAGAGAGCACCAAGGGAATCCCCCCCCCTTTAATCAGATAAATAAATGGGGTATTATTGTAATTAGATGTTTATGGAGTATACCATATTTGATTTCTTTTATAGTTGTTAATATATAATGCAATTATCTCTCCTTCTCAATCCTGATTGCATTTCCTATCGCTGTTTTATATAGCCCATTTTATTATTTAATGTTTGCTGGTCATTGACCAAATAAAATTCAAATAAAAAAATTCAAATTTCTCATAAATCTGAAGGAAGCTTTTGGTTGTTTAGTACTGATAGTCTAACTGAAGAGGCTTGTGTTTTTGGATTTAGGCAACTGTAATTATTTGAAACTATACATATAATATTTATAGGCTGTTTTCAAATGAGAAAAACAGCCTATCAGTCAACAGGCTTCCATCTTACATAATTTTGTAGCCAAAGCAGAAACTTACAGAATACACAGTTACAAGATTTTTTTTAATGCAGTTTTGGAAATGGAGTAAGATAGAATTAAGTCTTAGACTATAGGAAAACGTGGTCTCAACTTCAAGTTTGCAGTCCATTAAACTTCAAGCAGAAAGACGGAATCTAGTACTATAATTTCTTACCTTGTTGCCCACAATCACAGTAAGGATTTTGATGCTTTAAAAAAAATTCATATTACACAAAGTTGGGTGGGCTTGAACAACAAGATTTCTCCCCCCCTCAGTATATAGAATCTTGATTTCCAATAAACCACTAGAATTGTGTTAAAGGTCTAAAAGTTCTTTATAGATTATCAGCTTCCTTATAAAGGAGAAATCTTATTCTGATATTGAATCACCTATAACTTCAGTAATTCTGATTAGTAAATTGCCATTTTCTCACTATATAAACATTCACAGATTTATACAATACATATCGTGTTGCAATGTGTTTTCTTCTTGCTCCCTCTTCTTATTTCATCTGCAAGCATTTCTCTCGAGGGAACGAATTTTCTGGCCATACAGGTAAGACTAGATGGGCTATGCGACTCCACAAGCCACTCAACTTGTCTGTGTCCATGTAGTTATAAGACTTTGGTGTGTCTGAGTTAGTAAATTTAGCCCAGAGGAAATCTTTCACTCTCTCCTCAACTTCCAACAAGGAAAAGCTCTTGTTTAGGGACTCCCCACCCAGAAGAACGGTTAATAGTAAAGCCACATCTTTAAATGCTGCATTTTCATGATCACAGTACTTGTAAAAAATCAGGGTGGAACCTGCGGGTAATGAGTCAAACCGATGGACTACCGCTGCTTTGTTACCATTCTCAAAACCAGAGCTTAGTTTTTTATCAACAGTAAGTTTGACGGCGTCACTATCTTGAGCTCTTGTGCTGGCCCCATCAATTTTAATTGTAAGCGCACCTTGAGAAGATGAGAAAGCATCAGCAATCTGGTTGCTTAAACACTTCAACACATCTTCAGCTTCTTTTGAAGCAGCGAGTAATAAAGTAGCTGGTTCCAAATGAGGGTGAGAAGAATTTAGACGTTTCTTGAAAGTACCTTGGATTCTGTTCCACACTATTGTATCTTGACTTGGATAGGTGTTCCTGAGCTCTTTCATTTGGTTTTTAAATGTTTGTAGAACTTTATAATCAATTTCCGAAGCATGGATTGATGAATGCCAAAATATATCCCACCCACCAGCAGCAATGCAAGTTGCAACGAATATCACAATTGCTGTAAGTGAGTATCTTCTTTCAGGTTTAGAATCTGGTACATACATGCAAGAAGGGAAAAAACAAAATTTTCAGTAATGCATTCATATTTTATTATATTAAGTGTATATCTTTATTTACTTGAGTCTTTCTAAACATTTATCCTAAGAACTTAAGAACTCAAGTGTTCCAGAAAACAGACTACAAAGAACTCTAACTCATTAGGAAAGTGTCAACTACACATTTCAGTCAAAATAAAGTAAATACTATAGTTTAAACACTATATTTTAAACACACCCTACACAACTAACCAAACTGATTTAGTTTATTTATCAATATACAGTATATTAGGTTGTTGCTAATATATTGACCAAACAACCTCTGCCATGGAAGTGACTCAAACCTATAACCTCCATAATCAATGTACATTAATATCTGAAAATAGTTTTATTATTTAGTAATAATACTACCAATACTGTTCTATCACTGCATTCTTTAAGGAGCGGATATGCTATTCA